TGTCAATGGTAAGATACTGGTTCCTGGTATATATGATTCAGTTGCTAAGGTGACACCAGATGAGAGGGATTCTTATGATRACATTGACTTTGATTTGGTAAGTTTAATCAATCATTTTCTTTACACTCACTCAGATGAAATGGCTTTGACTATGGAGCCTTTCTATAAAAAAATATAATATAACTTACAGCAAAGTTATATTGAATATAAATGCATTCGCATTTCAATTTAAAGTTATATTGATTCTTGTACTGAAGTATATTCAATGACTTGTTCATCCCTTTTGTGTGATGACATATTTTTTTGGTGGGTAATATTCATGATCATTTTTTATTTATGTTAATACAGCCACTCTGTATAGACAGTAGATCTAAATATGTTAAAGTTCAATCACTAAAATAGTGTTGTCTTAATGAGTCAGTTAACGAGACACTTTGTCAACTTAGTTGAACAGTAAGCCAAACACTACAATTGTCATTTTAGTCAGTTAACCAGACAATTTTCAGTAAACCGGAGACACTGAATTGTCTTAGAGTCAGTAAACCAGACACTAATTTTCAAATGTTCCAGTGTTGCATTATTTTCCACAAACATCATTTCATTATCATCTGGGCGGCAGATTCTTTCAGACTCTTTCAATAAGGTCTGTTTGTGATGCATCCATAACTTGTGAATATGTCATTTTCCAATTTTGCTTGTGCTTATTCAAATGAATTCATTAATTAAATAGCTTCATTTAAATATCAATAATCCAGGAAGATTACAGGAATGACATTGGTCACAATAAGCTGTTACATGATAACAAGACTGATCTACTTATGCACAGATGGCGTTACCCTTCTCTATCCATACATGGTATGTCACACAATCATAGTCAATACTACATTTTCCAGTTATTCATGACCAAAAACCTTGACAACCTCCCATTGCATTCTCTATCAATCTATAGCCTGCTATGTATGCTTTCATTCATAAGTATCACCCACTGTTGACTGCTTCGAAAAGTTTTTCTCCTGTTAAAGTGCAACTGAAAATCATTTTAACAAAAGGCAAATATAATGCTAATCATTGCCTTGAAGGGAAAAAATTGTTTGAATTTTATTTTCTGATTTAAAGACATTTGAAAATTGAAAATGCTAATGATTACTGATGTCAATCAAGGAATTGGGCTGGAGGTTTTTCATTATTTGTGAAATCTTGCGTTCGGTTGAAATGGTCAAATCATCAATAACAGTATTATTCAAGACCTAGAAAAGTCATTGTGATATAAAAAAAGACTAATGTATTTTTATCGTGATTTTGAATATTAAATCATTCACTTAATTTGCATTTCCGATTTKCAAATATTTCTAAATCAAAAGATATAAATTTGAAGGTTTTTTCCCTTTGCTGAAGTGCTTAGGATAAATGTTCTCTTTCGAATGAAATGACTTTCTAGAAGGGTTCAGTTGCACTTTAAAGACCACAAACTAGCRGCATAATGGGTTGTTATATGCTACTGCTAGAACATTTAAAAAATATATATTATTTGGTGAAATATAACAAAGAAAGACAGGGAATACAAAAAAAATGTTCAGTAGAACAATACACTAAGCATTGTTTTACATAATCYCTMAATTGTTTCTTTTYGTTGTCTCACTTTTAATTGCAAGCTTTGTTATAACAGTAGTGACTTACATGGGAATATTAGGTTATAAATTCACTCACAATAAAAACTTGAAATTGATCTAGGGTGCAGTGATAAAAAATGGTGAATTGTATAGTTCATGATATTCTGTACTTTCTACTACTGTTTACGTGCTGTATGTCATTAACAAATCTAGTAACGAAATACATCATTTAAATATAGATTTCTTATTTATTTTTTGAAGGAATTGAAGGAGCATTCTATGAACCAGGATCCAAGACTGTCATTCCTCGCAAGGTATGYTAAGACTAGTTGTTATAATTATTGTAAAGTATACTTTTCTGTTGGCTAATATTCAACAGCCTTGTTTGCACTATAAGTCTCATTGGACCTTATAAACTCAATGGCGTGCACCAGGATAAAATTAAATACATAGTAAATAAAATATTTGGAATTTCTCTTCATTGCTCTCTTTGTTATATTGACATTTTTTATACGGACGAAGCATGCGGTGAAACTTTGATTAGCTTRTATGATATCTACTGTAACTGCTGCTYATTATTCACCAGTCCTCATAATCATCTATCATACATGMGGCCAAATTARARTTTCTTGATTTGTGTAATTCKTCAKTCATCTTTCGTTTATGGGTAGACTTTCTCCAAGTTTTGCCACTTACCATTGCTTGCGATTCATGGTCGGAAAGAATCTACCAACTGAATATTTGAATCAAAACACAGGAATTCCAAGCAAGAGAAAGAGACTTGAAACAAGAATAAACTTTAGGACTACTACATAGAGTGACTTTAATTGAGTTTATAGAGTACTCAAGTGTGATGTCACAAAAATACTTTTTTTCGAATTTTTTGGATTCGTTGAAATAACCTTAAAGTGAATGGAAAAAGTAGCTATCTACACAATTTCAGTGTCCTAGTGCCATTTATAGCGGACATACAAGCAATTTAATATGGTCGGGTGACCATCTTTGGTCGCGTTCATAACGAAAGGAACAAGACCAAATTTACAAGCGTTTGTATGTTGTCACCATAAAATGGCTTGTATCTCCGCTATAAATGACACTAAGACACTCATATTTAGCAAGGATACATCACAAATGCTGCACTTTCAGAATATTTAAAAACTCAAACATTTTCGTTTTGTGACGTCATCACTTGAGTACTCGTGTTTACTCGTGTCACTTGAGTACTCATGTGTAAACTTTGTGTTTATCGGTATGGAAATAAGTTATACAAGCTAAGGAGACTGTTCACCTAGTTATAAAATAGAAAGATTAAAGAACATACTACGGGACCATACGAAACAATATTGTAGTGAAAATTACATCATGAACATACAGAACAGTAGTTTGTTCTATAATCTTCTATTTTGTTTAATTATGACGTCACAGTATGTGCTAAAACAATAGAATGTTTTTGATGTAATGTCATATTGAAATAGGACAATTGAAACCTTATTTCATGGATTTATCGAGTTTTATGAAACAATTGTTTTCAGGTGATTGGTAAATTTTCAATTCGTCTTGTTCCCAACCAACAACCTGCAGAGATTGAAAAGCTCGTGACTGATTACTTGAACAAGAAACACGCTGAAAGCAAAAGTCCCAATGAYTTCAAGTAAGTGGAAATCATCTGTTTCGCCGCATTCTACGTYAACAATGTTGACTGAAGGCCTTGCTGTTACATAAACTAGAATACGTAACGTGCTTTAACAGACACACATTTCATTTTGTCCCCTGTGTATGTAAACACGAAGTTACAATGTATCCCAAAAAAACAACGAATTGCACGTAGCAGGCAAGAATTTAATGCTTGACAATGTATAGTGCGTGGCAATGTAATACGGCGCGCTAGATGTATGGTCTTCTGATAGAAAACACCCAAAGTCTCAATTAATAATTGTTAGAGTGCCCGGGGGGGGGGGGGGCTACCTCCCCAAGTTGGGTGGGGGTGTGCCGCACGACCCTCAACACCCTTAACCTATCCCAGACTATTTTTTTTTTTTTTTGGATTTTGCATACCCTACCCCAGACTGAAGGTACAAAGGTACATAATTTTAGCGCTCAAAGCTTGGCTTAGCCCCCCCCCCCCCCCCCCCGCAAAAAAACTGAATTGCACGTAGCAGGCAAGAATGTAGYGCTTGGCAATGTAATACGGCGCGCTAGATGTATGGTCTTCWGATAGAAAACACCCAAAGTCTCAATTAATAATCGTTAGAGTGCGAAACTTTGTCAGAAATAACGCAAAATTGCACTAATGAAACAATAAAAGACAAAGGATTTCACACTWCATGTAAGGTGTCTAGTGTTTCATGGATATTTTATATTATTTTAATGTGTTTGTTGTTTCTTACTAACGTTGTTGTCTGTCCGTCTGTGTAGGCTTACTATGGGACATGGTGGTTTACCGTGGATGAGTGATTTTAACCATCCTCATTACATTGCTGGAAGAAATGCCACAAAAGCAGGTAGTTGCTGGGATCCAGAACACATTCTAATGATTGGAATGTAAAGTCCAGGTTTAGGATTCGAAATACTCCAATTTCGAGTTCTGGTTTGCTCTGTGMTAGCCTCAAAACCAAGTAAAATWTTCTTTTGTTTTATTGATAGACCGAGAAAACGCATGGAATTTGWRAAGAAARACAATARAATTGATTTGAAATCTTACACTTTTATCCTCRCAATTAGAGCGGATTTCGTATGAGTGGGAAACGGACGGTACTGTACTGTGTCCGTAATCGTACTGTAACCAAATTCTAGTGCCCCATTGTTTCACCAAAATTCTGCAGGYCAGGTGCGGTAATTGTGCGGTAACCGTGCGGTAACGGTGTCCCACTCATACGAAATCCGCTCTAGGAATATTTTGCGCAGAAATGAGGCTCAGAGCATTGGAGACTCAGAGCATTGGAGATTTCGAAACTGGATTATTCATCCTCGTTTTAGACTATGAGAGATATAACTAGACTATGCATATAACGTGCATATAATTGGCTGATAAACATATTTCATAAACATTAGCAAAATGAACACAATTTTAAAAGTGTGGGTATTTTGAAAGGACGTAAAAAGACCTGCCGTTATAACCTCCTCCACAGACCTGCCGTTATAACCTCCTCCACAGGCAGCAATTAATTTTGCACTTTTGGGATCCCTTTGGTTTCCTCTTGGCTGAGAAGGAGGCTTGCAAATGAAGGCTGGGTAGCAGTCTGGCGGGTTACAGTCGTCCTCGGATATATTGAAAGAAAGGGAGCCACAATGTAGAAAGAAGAGCGAAAGCAAGATGAAATTTGATATTTAAATTTAGGATTTCAAGATTATTTTCAAGAAAATTTCAAAAAAAGTTTGCTCAAATATAATCTCCAGTCCTGTTTCACATATTAATTGCCTTGTTTCTCATCTTTATTTATTTTTGAAGTGTATGGAGTGGAGCCTGATCTCACTCGTGAAGGAGGCAGTATACCCGTGACGTTGACCCTTCAAGAAGCTACTGGCAAGAACGTAATGCTACTGCCTGTCGGMTCTTGTGACGATGGAGCTCACTCTCAGAACGAGAAGATCAACCGTTCAAATTACATCAATGGGGTGAGTTGGAAGGCTTGTGGAACATGCTRCGTTGACTGCAATGATGCATTGTTGCCAAGAAAATATAAAGTTTTCTYGGCAACACCTTGTATGGTTATAGCATCTCGTAGCCTCTTCTGCAGGCATGAGTATATTCGGTATTGGGTCGAAATTGTGCCAGCCAGTATCATCCTCTTTTTCCTTTGCTCATTGCTGACGGTCAACAAGGCTATTGCAATAGAAGGGCAATGGTCGAAAAAGGAAATTAAAAAGGGGCTATGAATGATAGACGTTGCAATTTTCGTAGCAGCAAAAACCTGAAATTGCTCTCCAACCACGGGAAAGAATTGCAACTTATCCCATGTGCACCTGCCCCTAGCATGCAAGGGAGTTCTTTGCACCATCGACAAACGTTTTCGGCTGTAAAGCCTTTGATATACACCTACTTGCGAAAACGTAGTCATAGAAAATAGGACATTTGTATTTAGTAAAAAGGAATAAATTAAAAAGACAAAAGAAGATCACTAAGGCTGAGCGCTCTGTCTTGGTTTATTTTATTTCTTTAAATTCAATTTTTCCATTTTCTATGACAACGTTTCTGCAAGTAGGTGTACACCGAAAATTATTTGTGTTCCGTAGAAGGGTTTTTTTTTTTGTTTTGTTTTGTTTTTGCACTCTCCCATTATTACCACGGCAACGGCACTCCATGCAGATAATGATTACTTTTATCTCTATTTTAACAGCATAAACTACTGGCTGCGTACTTTGAAGAAGTTGGAAAGCTCTAAAGATCACAGCACAAGACGTTATGAACTTTTAAAAATATACTTTGATGATAGACTAGTGAATTCAAATAATAATTATATTTTTGACGAGGTACAAATAAAGCAATTGATTGTGATAATTGATTTGTGCTCTTTAATAATATTATATCTTTGTCAATGCTGACTTTAATTTTAAACATCTTTCAAAACAATGCCTTGCTTTAGTACATCAAGAGTTAATGTTCTTCTCATAATTCTTGTCCAAGACTGTGCCTTGTAATTATAGAAAAAAATTCAACCTGTGATCACCTGATAAAGAGGATATTACATGGGCGCGCGCAGATACGGATTTTATCTTCGAGTGTTGAAAAGATCCCTTACGAGTGAGCGTAGCAAACGAATGAGATTTTCAACACGATAAGATAAAATTCGTATCTCCAAACAACCATGTAATATTCTGTTTATCATGTAAATTACATATTAAAGCAAATTATGACGTATATAGAAGATATTACATGGGCGCGTGGATATAGATTTTATCTCCTAGTGTTGAAAACGTCTCACGAGCGAGCGTAGTGTTAATACGTTCATTTTTGAAATGTCTCTTTGATAGCCCAATTATCGGGGTTCCATGCACTACTTCGCGTTGTGTGCAACTATTCAAGCTTTCGATTCAACATCTTCAACTACTATATTGTTTGAATACATTTCTCGTGGGCGCTTTCTATTTTTTTCTTAGTTGCCATTAACATATGATGACATATATGAAGACATTTAATTCCCCACCCCCCACCCCACCACAAAAAAAGAAACTTCATCATGTCCGGTCATGTGACCCTTGATGTTTTGAAAAGTTTTGCTCCTTCTCTATGGAGATATACAGCAGAAATTTACATCCGAGGTTTATTTTAGATTTGTTAGAGGAACCAAATACCAGATATTGAAAGAATAACTGTTGGTACAAGATTGGCTTCCTGTGGTACAAACATAATACGAGTAAATCTTTTTGAAAGGTAAAAAAAATCATAGATATTACACAGTCTATATACGTATATAAGTTCAATGATGAATCCCAATCAATGAAACTTTACTTCCTACTGGTAGCTTATTACAGCGCTTCTTCATAATTCTGTTTATGTAAAACATGAAATTCTTCATTGTAGGCTAGATTGCCATAAGAAGTTTTGTAAAGCAGAAGATTTTTAGCCACAACATGACATGACCTATTTTATTCATTCTGGGAACTGTTGACGGCTATAATAAAGTATTCCAGACCTGCCAGACGGCTTGCAATCTTCAAGGTAAAAATAAACCATTCTTGACTTGATTCCTAATTCAGTTGACAATCAATCGAGCCGGTTTACGTTCGTTTGCGTGTTCGACTGATTTTTTGTTCGAATTTGTCCGATTGGTATTATTCCTTTGACTCGTGCTCAACATACAATACTGATACATTTTTCGAACGGAATATACTTATGTAATGATTGAGTTATTGATTTATTGCTACTATCTGATTTTGTATGGTCTTCAGAGATGACCACACTCCCAGACAAGTTACAATGAACTAGACTCATATGATGAATCGAATGATGAAGCGATTAGACAATACATCTAGTTTCGAATTCTCTTTTGTGCAAGCTTAGCTTCAATCAAGCATAAACGTTTATTATCTTCTTTGTACGCAGAATGTTTGCATTACAATAGAGCAAACGCAGGAAAACCATGAAATAAAATCAAACTAGATACTAACAAATAGCGGCTATTTAAAGACAATTTGTCAGTATCAATAGCACGCAGTTGATGTAATGTATTCATAAGATGTATTGTATTCCATTGTTTCTCGTTCTATTGTATTATGTGTTTTGTATCATATCTTTATGAATATATTACATCAACTGAGTGCTACGTAGGCTCTCCCGTGCAGACATGCAGTACAGCATAGACTAGCTGCTCTTACGTGTGGGATCAAAATTCTTTCAATTGTGGCAAATGCACATGCTCAGTAGAAGTTTAATATGCATTATCACTGTTTTCGCATTTCTTAGCTTTTTTTCTAAAATGATAACGATTTCTGGATGTTAAAGTTCTAGAAGTAGTATAAAGATATCAAGAGTGTGTTTTATCGGGACTAAAGATACTCGCCTTCGGCTCGGATCTTTATCACCCGATAAAACACACCTTTTCGTTCTTTACACTACTTTAAATTTTGTAATTTGTACTTTTTTAGAACAGACGACAAGTTTACTGGAAAGGAATCAACATGTCTAAAATCCGGAACTGGTGGAACTATGATAACATTATATTCACAAAAGAAGATAAGAAGGCCTTTTTTACCGTTTTAGAGCAATTACCTACCGGATTTTCGAACCACTTAGGATGCTGTTTTAAAATGAAGACCAGCCAAGGCAATCTCGTTTGGGTTTCTACAACTGAAATTTTTAAAACTTTGAAGTCGAAAAAACATTTTGCACGACGTTGCAAGGAGAACAACGAAATGCAGCCATTTGAATCGGAAGTTCATTCCAATGGTGGCATAAGTTTTGTCAGTTGTAATGCAGAAGATGGAAACTATTTCACATTTGGAGAGAGTCGAAAATTGAAAAATGAGGTATCTGCATTTGTCTTCGACAATCAAAAAATCCTTGAGCTGAAGTTCCTGAGGATCTCTGGTACTGACGATTACGAGTTAGATAGTTCTTCAAGTTCGAAAGCAAGCAGTAGCTTCGATTTAAGCAGAGCAGTTGGGTCACCAGTTATTGTACCAGTTGACAAACCAGGACGAAATCAAGTAATTGGTGTTTTGGATGTCAATAACGAAGATGGAAGTCTCCATCCGGTTTTTTTTAATTCGCATACTTTTAAAATTGGTAAGTTATGATCGCTTTCGTTGCAATTTGATTTCTCTAATTGTAGTTGTGGCCAACTGCCCTCAAATTTCAAGCAAGTACTCCAGAAAATGAAAGACATTTGTGTCATAATTTCCACTTGATATTGCTCACGCACTCTTGTCTCAGAGACATGGCTAAAATTAGATATAGCAGTACCTTTGTTTTTTAATTGCCAAAATGCCAATACCGATGCCACCATTCGGGATTGAAAAATGGTACCCTGACCGTGCTAAGAGACTAACTCTCAAACGGTTGTTACTGAATTTACTTCCGCTGTCCTTGTTGTACCAGGCATACCAGTACTGCTGTCTCGCCAGGAACGTTATTCATTAATTATAAGTAATAGCATGGCTCTGAGGGAGATTAGGGATTAAAATCACTTTGCCCTGGCTTAGGTAACGCCTATAAAACTCAAGTAGAAACTGTTCAACCAACTCAGCAAGGACCAACCGACGTCATTCCTACTCGATCACAAGCATCCTTAACCAACCAGGCAACAGGACCAAGAGTGTTTGACATAGGTAGGTCATTAAATTTGTTTGTTCCTATCTGTTACCTGACTTAAAAAGACTCGGAAACTGGTATGTACATGTATGTAAGAAAAAAGGGTTTAGTAGTTTCGTCTGGAAACAAGAATGAGAAACGTTTATATGTAATTTGTAACTAACATTGATTTCTGCATTGAGCAAAGTTAATCTTGTTTTAATATTGTACTTGGTGATTAATGTATCGCAGATTATAATTCAGATACAAGAAGCGGTGACAAAATACAAGAAGGAAAAGATCACTCAAGACTAGCAAGAACCTCCCTTTTAGACAGGGAGTATAATGATGCAGTGATGCATGCAAACAAATGGCTGGCCATCGCTAGGGAGACGGGTGACCAACTGGAAGAGAATGAGGCTTATGAAATCTTAGGAAACGCCCATCTGTCGTTAGGAAACAACAATAAGGCAATTGAACACTTCGAAAAGTATCTTGAAATCGAAAATACCAACGTGCTAAGTGCAAGTAAAAGAAGAGTATTCGAAACGTTAGAAAATATTTACTACACTTTAGGAAAATACACTAAGGTTGTTGAGTTGTACGAAATGTYTTCGAGTATTTCCGTGAAGTTGGGTGACAATGAAAAGGAAGCAGATGCTTACGAGATCTTAGGAAAGACTTGCCAATCGTTAGGATTTTATGATAAGGCTGTCGAATGTCACCTAAAAACAGTTAGTATAGCTGTTAACAATAATGACCAGGAAAGAGAATGCGCTGCTTTAAGAAACTTAGGGAATGCCCATAAATCACTAAGTAGGTACGACAAAGCAATTGAATGCTATGATAATAGTCTTACCATTGCATCGGARTTAGGAAACAGACAGGCTGAAGTAACTGCTTATGGTAGCTTGGGAACGACGTATCAATTACTCGGGAATCAGCACAAGGCAGAGGAGTTTATCCAAAAGCAACTTGATATAGCTGTCAAGATAAGGGATAGGAAGGCTGAAGGGATGGCCTATGGGAACTTAGGAAATTATTTTGCGTCTTTAGGGAAGTACCACAAGGCAATCGARTCTATCAAAGAACAAATGAAAATTGCTWCTCAGACAAATGACACAGARGSAGAAGCAGTAGCTAGTGGCAACTKAGGGAATCTGTATGAATTAGTGGGAAAATACAAGGAGGCAATGACATGTTATGAAATACAGCTTTGTGTGTACAATAGATTGAGAGACAGGCATGGGGAAGGAAATGCATACGGAAGTTTAGGAAAAGTTCATATGAACTTGGGCGATAATGACAGGGCTATGCCATATTGCCTAAAACACCTTGCCATTGCTAAAAGTTTAGGTGACAAAAAGGAAGAAAGTACAGCTTACAGAAACGTAGGAAATGCCTTAGCATCATTAAAAGAAAATGACAAGGCAATTGAATGTTTCCAAAAGAGCCTTAAGATTGCTGAAGAAATAGGTGATAAGCAGGGAGAAGGAAATGCTTATGACAGGTTAGGAAATGTTTATCAGTTGACACATAATTACAGTGAAGCAAAGAAGTACCACGAAAAGCATCTTTCCATTGCTACTGATAGATGCGATAAACAAGGAGAAGGAGAAGCTCATTACAACATAGGTAAGCTATTGGTTTCAATAGAGACCTTTAGATTTGAGAACGAGGACCATAGGCTACCCAACTATTGCTTGAGAGAAAGAAAAGAATGAACGCGCACGCTTTTATACTAGTATCGGCGCGCGCTCTTTTAGTGAAATGCGGATTACCTGTAGTATTACGTCACAATCCCGTGCCTCGCGGGATTCAAACAAGTCTGTGACAAGGTATGAAACACTGGTCACGTGATGGACCGATGTGCGCCCCAGGTAGCTTGTCTATCCCTCTCTATCGTTTTTTTTCGTATGGACTTCGAGAGCTTTCGTAAACAGTCGTATCACTCGACATTTTTCCGATGGTCAACCGATAATGTCGCTCCCTTTCGTCGCTCCGTCGCTGCTACATAGTCTATTCACTGATCTTTCATTGATTTTGCTCGGGTTTCTTTGTAGTTTTGTTGGAAACCTACATATCAATGTTTTGAAACTTGACAGCTTCGTGCAAGAGATGGGACTGTGCATTGTAAGGAGCAATTACTTTAAGAGAAAACATTTTTTTCAAGACACTTGAGTCACCTTGAAAACCGAAGCAGATAGACGTCGTGGATTTACAGGTCTTAAGGCCGTGTTACACTGGCGTTTTTTTTTTCGTGCAACTTGTGTCGCGCAAAAAAAATGTTGAAGTTGCACGATGCCATGTCACACTAGCAAAATTCCGTTGCAACTTAGCTCGCACCACAGGTAGCCCAAGCTCTACACTAGGCGGCTTTTAGCTGAATTTGATGAAAATGTTAAAAAAAATTAAAAAAACATACTACATTGTCTCTTTTATTGTCCTTGCTCTTCGTGCGAAGTTTCAGGTCATTTGGACGACTATTTAGCGAGTTTTTTTGGTATTTTGTAACGTACCTCCGTAAGTTACTTAAATTTAGTAACTTACGGAGGTACGTTACAAAATACCAAAAAAACTCGCTAARTARTCRTCCAAATGACCTGAAACTTCACACGAAGAGCAAGGACAATAAAAGAGACAACGTAGGATGTTTTTTTAATTTTTTTTTTACATTTTCATCAAATTCAGCTAAAAGCCGCAAGTGTAGAGCTTGGGCTACCTGTGCTCGCACAAAAAAATGTTCAAGTTGCGCGCGTAAATAGACCTGTGCAGCTTTTACGTCATGTACCGTATACGCAATGCATTGTAGGACATGTTTGGGACAAAATATGGCGGATTTCTTTTGTTTTCTCTTCAAACTGATCCCACAATGCATTGAAAATCAAGTAGTGACGTAAAAGGTTCAGACGTCTATTGAAAATGTACGATCACCTCAGTTTCTGTCTCGTTTTCTTCTTCAAACTTATCGCTTTATTCGTTATTATTACAACAAGTGACAGCAGGACAGATTCTCGCTTTCTTATTGGTTCGTGCGCCTAATTGAAAATTTTGGAAGTTGCAAGAGACCATGTCACACACGCGTTTTTCCGAAAAATGTTGAAAAAAGTAGAAGCCAGTTCTACTTTTCTCTCAACAAAAAAATGAAATGTTCAAGTTGCATGAGGGGGTGTCACACGTAAAAAAACGCTCGTGCAATTTCAACATTTTTTTTGCGCGACACAAGTTGCACGAAAAAAAACGCCAGTGTGACACGGCCTTTAGAGTTAGCTATATTAACTATGTTTATGAGCAGGAATCAAGCTGATGGAGTGAGTAGTTGGAAAAGAGATATATCTTTACATGTAATGATAGTTTTAGCCAGATTTTTTTTTGTTAGTGTTAACCCACGGAAAAAAGTATTTGTGATGTCAACGCCGGAAAACTCGAGTGAGCAGTAAGCCTACGTTTTACCGCTTGGTTTAGCTATTTATGAGGAAGAATTCGTCTATTTTGATAATGAATAATGTCGTCTAATAATTTTAGATGCTTGAAAACTAATTGAAAACGCTTCGTTAAAAATCTGGTAAAATGAATTGTATGCACTCAACAACCATCAAGATTTGCCTGTACAACTTTGGTTGTTTACTGAAGCCAAGGTGACTGAGATCAACACTGTTCAAAATTATGTATATTTGTACTTTGAAACTGTAATAAAGCTTTTTAGTATTATCAATATGAACTGTTAACTGGATTAGATTTTTAATTTTATTATAACTAAGCTCATATTTGTCATGTTTTTACTAATGTTTCTTTTTCTGAACCTTGAAGACCTCGAAAGGTTTCTATATTTTATAACTTTTTAATTTGTTTTTGTTTATATTACATTTTTCCAGCGTGTTTTCTTTTCCTTTTTTTAAGAAAATTAATTTATCCTTGACTTTATTTTCACCTCGAGGAACTCACGAATGTTTTCCGAAAGCTCTCAAGACAAGCTACACATCGGTCCACGGCGAGTAAAATACTTAGTGTTCATTTTCTCGTCATGTAATGAATATTTCATACTGAAAATGGTAGTTAGGAAATCTGGCGATTTATTGTAATTTGAAAGAAAATCGTCGATTTCTGTTGTTTTTCGGTGAAAAAGGAGCRAAATTATATTTGTCACGTGATCAGTGTTTCATACCTTGTCACAGACTAGTTTGTATCCCGCGAGGCGCGGGATCGTGACGTAAAGTAGCTAACCCGCAGCGCGCGCCGATTCGATAACATACCCGCGAGGCAAGGGATCAATGACGAGGACGAGGACGCTGAGCGCGCACAACTTTGATGTCGTCAGCTCGCTCGCGCATATTCAAAAGAAATTCCTAATTCACTAATTTGACATGATTTAGTTTATGCCAATTTTAGCACAAACTAAGGATATTTCCGCACACTTATTTATCAAAGTAAAGGGATGTTCAAAGTCGATGTTCTTGAAGGACGAATGGGGAGCCGCGAAATATTTTGAATAGCGTTCCGCTGAAACTGTGTACATCTAATTGCAAAACGGTTGTCATAGAGATAAGAGTATCTGTACTGTTGTAAAAACAAATAAGTTTAAAAAGACAAAGAAAAAATGAACCAGGCTAAACAATTTCTTTTTTTACTATTTTATTTATTTTTACCAAATACAAATGAGTGACTTCTGTATGAAATAGTTATAATAATAATAATAATATTATGTTTATTACAATCCTATCGCAGTGCAATACAAGAGAGAAACACTGAAACTACCTCTTCCATCACTTTCTAAAGAGTATTTTTTATATACTGTTGATAAACAAGCATATGGCTTTAGCCGGCGTTTTAAAATTAGGAAACATTATACTCTGCACTTGTACCATTATAATTTTCCCAAATTTGGATTCCTCATATTTTGACTATACTGATGAACAGCAAACACAGATTTTTGACCGTTGTGCCGGTCAGCCAGATAGGCCAAGGATCGTTATTGCTTTAATACTGCATTTGTACATAACGGAGAATGATTATCATATTACACAAAGGTTTTGTGAAGGGGTGGTTCAAATTAAGTTATGGTCAAGCTGCACTACGAAATCTCTTTTACCCCTTTGTACCTCCCTCTGAACACCGGCCATACCACAAACACGTGAGCATGACGACATTGATTTCCCCCTGAGGAAGTAAAATCCATTCTTAAGTGAAACTGAAAACTTTCAAAACTCGTTTGGTTGCAGGTATTTGCTTATACAAGGGAGCGCCACTAAATAACCCCAAAAGCAGTGATCATCTCAGAAGATGTGAAAAACACCTGTTAAAGAGTCGTCAATGTTACGAGGAGCTGCTTGAAAACTTACGAGATGAAACCGAGCTCAAGATCTCTATTGCTGACATATTCACTAAAGTGCACAAAAGCCTGGCCGAATTCTACATTGAAACTGACCGAATAGAAAAATCTATTTTGGAATCAGAACGTGGAAAAGCCCGTGTTTTGGGAAATGTCCTGAGTACAAAGCACAGCTTGGATCTAGATTACTCACTAGAACTTGCAGATGGTGTTTTAATAAATGCCTGTATTGTGTTTTATGATATTGACATTCGAAAGACGACAGTTCGAATTTGGCTTCTGGATTCCGAAAAGCCACCATTTATCACTAGCTCAGAGATCAACATGAGACATGTGACCTACCCATCGTGGCGAGACCCAGAATCGTCTTTGCTGCGGTCTGCAATACTAGATCTTGATGATGATGATGATGAATTTGTTTTGGAGAACTATTGTGATCTTTATTCAACGCTGATTGCTCCAATAAAACACAAACTGGACAATCGCGAGATTATCATAATTCCAGACGGACCTCTCTTCATGGTTTCATTTGCTGCCCTTCAAGATCCATTCACAAAAAAATTCCTTATGGAGACTAACACCATTCGTTTCGCGCCATCCATGAAAGTTATGAAAATTCTCCATGAAGTCAGCGCGCGTGACCCCAAGCACGAGGTTAGTCGATGAACGAATATGGCAATTTCAATGTTGAAATTTCAGGTGGCCTGAGACTGCAATTTCCTCAAATGCGATGAGCGTTTGAAAACCAAGCCTATTTAAAAATAAACGGAAAACAGTTATTTCCAGACCCTCAATTTTAGTCTAAATTAAAGCTGGTATTTGTACTTTGGTTGGTATTTTTTTCATTATTTTTATCATCGATGCATGTGCGCTGCTTTTGCAAATCAACGAGAGATACAGGCACAATAGTTTGAGTTTGGAGAAACTAAGATCATAGGGATGGATCTTTTTTATCAGGTGATCTGTTAAGATTTTGCATAAGCAAAAATACTATTCGCATTTCCTGATTTCATACCTCGAGAGACTGGTTGCAAGTACCTAAATTAATACGATGGTGAAATAACACTTATATAGAACAAACGATTTTAGTAAATAAGAAGTTTACAAAGTTTGGTGTTAATCAGATCAAATGTGAACTTTTTACGTTATTTATCAGTCTTATTCACCATGGTGCGAATTAGGGTCTTTAACCAGTCTCTCACGGTATGGAATCAGATAATAGTAAGTTGTATTTGGTGCATCCCATGATCTGCAAACGGTCTGTAGCACAAATTCCGTAACCCGATTTCGGGAATCCAATGAAAAGCCATTTCCATGTTAACTGCGGTTTCCGTTATCTAACACTTATAATTGTTCTACTTTGTCTTTCCTCTAGTCAAAAGCGATCGTTTTTGGAAATCCTGAAATTGGACGAGCCCTGTATGAAGGCAAAGTAAGAGCGTTCACTCCATTACCTGGTGCAGAGCTTGAGGCGATTGCCATTGGTAATTTGCTCGGGGTAAAACCATTAGTAGGAAACCAAGCAACCAAAAAGGCATTGTTGGGGCACCTGCAGTCATTTTCGTCTGTTATCCACATTTCAACTCATGGTTTTGAGGATAAGCTTCTTCTTGCTCCTGTACTTTCGGCTCCAGGAAATATCCCAGAAGAAGAAGATTATGTCTTGTCGATTGAGGATGTTCTCAAAACTAATGTTGAAGCTCGTCTCGTTGTGCTGAGTTGCTGCCACAGTGGTCGAGGGGAGATCAAGTCGGAGGGTGTCGTGGGAATGACTCGAGCCTTTCTTGCTGCAGGAGCGCGTGCTGTTGTAGCAGCAATATGGCAGCTTGAAGATTACGCCACTGCCGAATTTATGTATCATTTTTATTCGCATCTGAAAAGTGGAGTGAGTGCAAGTAAGAGTCTCCAGCAAGCAATGAATGCGATGAAACAAATTGAGAAATACAAGGAACCAAGATATTGGGGTGGATTCTTTGTTATTGGAGATGACGTTACCTTCGATATGCATTCTACAGTTTGAACAGGACATTTATAAACAATTTGATATAATAGACTAAAGTTATAAGAGTTTCACTAGGTCGGCGTCAAGTAAGCAATTGGTGCTGACTTTGTTTACATGTGCTATGTTGGTGCTATGTTGTTCTTGGTTGAAGAGCTCAAATCATGAACAATAGTAATCATTGAGAGCAGAAAATGTATTTTCCAATGTTAAAAAAAAGAATAACGTCCTCTTTCAGGATTTTGTAGATTAAATCATTCCTTAGTAGACGTCACTTCATTTGCATTTTGTAAGTTTCAATACTGCCAATTAATAACAGTTTTAGGTCATACAGTTTAAGATCAATTTCTTACTTCACAGATGTACTTAGCAGCATTTTCTCTTTTGGATGAGAATGGATGAATGTCATGTGCACTTTAGCTAGAACCTTAAAATATCTCCATATCATAGAGCATAGAGGGATAATATAGAATGTCTAGTTGCATCGACCAGATGAAAGACTGTTTCTTCTTTCGTGTAGTAATCTTAGGGAAGATTACACTAAGTGATACCTTCAAGACGTTATGTTTTTATATTCACAGTATGTACAAATTAGATCAGAAGGTAACACTAAGTGATACCTTCAATAATGTTTTTTCAAAGGAAAGAGATACATTATAAATTACAACACACAGGGTGAAAAAAAGAAGTACCCTAATGACATGTCAGTGATTTGAAGAGGATATTCATACTTATCTTTTACCCTAATGACGTCATGTCTTTTTTAGCGGAGTGCACCTTGGTATTGATAAATTAGAATCAAGATATCGGCTAAGTTTCTTTGCGAAATTAATGTTATCTGTTATGATGTGTACACAGTAACGTATCCTCCAAAGTATTCTCGAGGGTGGACATTGTCAATTTTGAAAAGAAATTTCGTCATGGTCCTTCATAGGTTTTATACGACGTCCTCCATCTTGATGCTTTTATCATTATGTAGTCAACACCAGAACAAGCATGCATGACGTCATTGGGGAAAACGAGAAATTAAGTAAGTCCGCTTTTAGACTAAGCTTGAAAAAAATGAAGTACTTTCAGAACTGTTCATGTCTAAGAAAAGTAAATCATCATTATTTTTATGAAATTAGAAATGGTAAAAAATATCTGTGTTAGTAAGCTAAAATAAGAACTCAACAATAGCGATTTAAAAATAAAGCACAAAGATTACAATAATTGAAGGCTTTTTTACCTTTTTAAAGATAGCATCATCCTCTCATCATAATTATAATTCAACAACAAATTTTCCTTCGCTATCATTGGTTGATACTCGACCGCGTGACGCAATAGTTCTGTTTTTCGAACCATTCATTTTCGGCGGGCAGCTATCACAGCATATTGCCTTAACCATTTAACATTCTACTCTATTGTTTAGAAGATGTAATAGTCACGAAAGCTCTGGGAGTCCAGGATTTGTTTATACCTGAATACCTATATATACTACTTTCACTATTACTAGATGTACTACAACTAAATATGACTGTAGCCAGCTATATTAATGTATGACGTCCCGACGGTATTTCACCACAACTTAATCTCTCTTTCAAAGCCTCACATTGTGTTTTTATTATCTTGAACTATCTCATTCGAGTTTTTACTGCGCATGTGTTTGGTCACGTGACTTTTTATTTCACAAGGCTCGGTCAGAACTGGGAACTAGGTAACTCGTATCAATATGGCGGACAAACATGGCGGATAGGATTGTAATGGCTGGCATGAAATGTCGATGAAATACAGATAAAAATATTGTTTTCTAGTGAGGAGAAGATTGTGATGATGACATGCATGTTTTAAAAAGTTATCCACACTCTTCAGGGAGAGGGATCCGGAATTTTTTTAAACGCGGTGTAGATTTTTAAAGGAAACAAAAATTGAATTAACCAAAATGCCTGATATCCGAACTTCATTTAATTGTATCTGATCATGACTCCGCCAAACACTGCCAAACGTGTAAAGACAAGTCAACAAGTCCTGTCTTGGTCATATTCCATCCCCCCTCCCCTCTCCCCCAAAAACAAGTCATGGTTCGATTATGGCGCTAGAGCCAAAGATATCATGCAAGACGGTTTCTACTTACTCATTTGCATAATCGTCTGCGTAAAGATTACGTTAGAAAATATTTCTTGTACTTTCATAATGTCGGCTGGTATAAATACCTAAGATATGTCGTAAGAGCTAAATGTACAAACACCCATTGAATGTCTTGGATTCCCTGCTGTTGCCCCCTGATTGACGAGCAAGCACAACGATTTTTGCGAATCAACAAACGGTATTATCAAAGTCAAAACCTTCCATTGATCGCCATATCGCTCTCTACGTTATAACTTTTGATTATTCTTTATCAAGCAAGGTTTTTGAAAGGTACTGGTATATATACTTCTGATAAGGAAACCAATGTTCGATATTGAATCAACAGACTGTGAAAGAAAATATTCGAACTATTTGCATAAAATTGAACAAAGTGTGTTTGGGGTGTTGTCGGCAATTTGCTTGAACTATACTACTGAAATACTTCATAACCACAATTAACGTCTTGATCTTCTTATTGCAAAAAGGTAAAACATCATAATATATGTTATTTAAATCAATACAGAACATTTGATACATATAATGAATTTGTTAGATGCGATGCTTGTGATGTCTGCCATAAGTCAAGTCGCGTAGCCATAAACGACGTAATGCGGCCGAACAAGCTTCTCTGTCTTCTCTGTACAAAGAATCAGTTACATATTCAAACATTAATGTTTTAAAGTTTCAATTTCCGAGGTTCTAGATCAATTGAAGCATTAATTTTTAATTAGCGTGAGCTAATACAATCAAAATGCATGAAGAATCCAAAACAACACAAGTTTCGACCGTCTTGCTCGAAAATAGAACAAAACGAAGAAGGAAAAGAAAGATTCAACGAAATTTAGACAAATGTCAGTTTTTTCTACCTTGTTTTTGGATGCTCTTTGATATAGCGTCAAACATGGATTTTAGATGAAGTTTAGATGGATTGTCAACTAATGTACGTCACACATTCTATCTAACATTTTGTATCATCCTTCCTGATCTTTTTGGACAATTAAATTATTGTAAACAAGAAATCTATATGCATTCTTGTACAGTGTCAGTCGAATATTGTGTGATTCGTTGCATTTAAATGTATAGTACGTCATTTAGATTACAGACGCTAATCTTTCTTTATGCACTCTGCATCGGTATTTTTTAGCTTTGCTTATATGCATGGTAGTATGGAAAAGCCTTAAAATAGCATTTACTTCATTATTATACTTTTGGTTAAACGTTAAAGATCGATTGCGAATTCGACGACGGTATGGCACCATTGAATAAAAAATTCTACATTTTTGTTTCAACAATTGTCGTTTGGCCGGGGTTTTCTAGAGGTATATGACAAATAGTAGAGACTGTTGCCATGGCTTCTATTCGGAATGCTTTACTTTAAAACAATTTCGAGAGAGGGACATGATCTTTAGTCGATTAGGAGAAGCAGCGGTAGAGTGCTCGCACTAAATGCGTGAAATATAAATACTACAAAATAAGTGATAAATTATACAAAGTCTTTTCTTTCCTATTGTATGATCAACACTATTTAGTAGTAATTAGTACTATTTGTTTCACGGTTTAAGTGCGAGCACTCTACGTTAACTGTATAACTAAGCTTCCCGTTAAGTTCAACTGCCTTGATTGGGTTGCCTGTGGATGGACACGGATGAGATATCAATGACATCATTCACATACCAGTTCTACGAACTCATTTGCAAGAAGGTCAAGGAAGTTTGTTTGGGTGTTGTTTGATTCCTTTCGAGCTGCAACCACTACTTTATAACGTGTATACAGTACATCATTCACGTGAAAGACAACAGTGTTTGCTATACGTTACAGCACTCTCAGAACGAGTGTAAAGCAGAATGTTTCAATCTTGAGATGACACGGGTTAAGATAGTTGATGCATCATGTGATTTCAACGACGTAGGTATTGGTATTCTCAAATCAAAAATTTTTATTTAAGTCGAAACCTTAGAAGGTAAAAAATCATAGATACATATATCATCATATAACCTTTGATTTGTAAGCACTCAATAGGTGAGATTTCTTTGGACGGCTTTTGGATCTCAGATTTGTATTCTGTAACAGCTGTGCAAGGGCTACTTCTGGTAACTAAAGCGGTCCTTTATACTTTTTAGGTTAAACATAACATTATATATTGTAGGCTAGATTACCATCAGACGAAGTGAAAAGCAGAAGATGTTAGCCACAAGATAACCACAGTAACTTTGATGTTCTATCCATTCTGAGAACAACAAGCGATGCCATGCATGGCGGATTTTGAAAACTAAACAAGACGGCGTGAAACCTTGAAAGGTAAAACGAGAAAACACGTAAAGGCTTTGACTTATAAATCAATTTTTATCTAGTTTTGGTACTGAGAGAACATAAATCTTCATATTGTCATGACTCCACATCATCGCATGATTTTCAGTAGTTTCAAGAGAGTTCGTGGGCCGGTTTTGATATCAAAAACTCCCTCCATAGGGAGTCCTAAAAGTAAGATCATCAATACAACACTGGTCGAGCTTTAGTTTTGGTACAGGTTGCAAGTTGCGAATTTGTTCAAGTCAACTTCGAGCAAAATCCTTAAGCTCGAACTACGAATCAAAACAAACTAGCCACCTTGATGAGCTAGACGATCATGGATCGCTTACGTGGTCTTCCTGTAGCTGTGAGAATGAGTCAGCTACCGCCATTGAGCTATAAGTATTTCATTTTCACGATACAGTCTTTGTTTGAAATAAGTCGAGACAGAATTAAGTTAATATTATTTATTTACTACATCATATTTTTTTTTCTTTCAATTCTATGAGGATAATGCGAATGCAATCTGAATGCTAAATTTTCGCTGCAATGATAAAAATATAAAAAAAATTATGTGAAAGGATTATACGCAGAATCTTTCAAAATCGATCGCGGCGCTGGTAAAAATATATATCTTTCACAGAAAAATTCTGAACACTTAACGTAACCTGAACACGGTATGTTCCACAAAGTGGTTCTTGTTATTATAAAGTAATACTTGCAGAATAATGATTTCTATTCATATTTTAAAAATCTTTAAATTTGTTTTCTTGGAATATGGATATTTCACTGTCACCTTTTGTTTTTTTGTGATATTCTGTGAACATTTGCGTCAACTGAAGACTATGGTAATGTACTCTTTTTTAAATTTGGGCGTTCCTCTTTTCTGCATTTACGTCGTAAAAAAGTCAGAACTGGATGCTTGGTAACAAGACTCTTCAGTACTGCTGTGAAGGCCTTGCCATGTTGCGCAGACCATACGAACCTTGGTTTCTTTGTTGTAAGGTCTCGAATTAGCTGTCATACTTGTTGTAGAAATCTTGCGAGGTTTTTGATGAATCCAAGGATACTCATCAGTTCTAGCTTTGAAGCAGGCATATTCTGCATGACTGTTATCTTCTCCGGGCCAATCTTTACGTGTCCCATGAATTTGACTTCTGTTATACGCAGATTCATCTTTTTGCAGATCAGTTTTTACTGTAAGCTTGTCTGGCTCGGTCGAGTAGTCGGGTAAGAGTTGAGTAATGGTTTTGTTCTGCTTTTTTTCTTACGTATGCTATAATAACTAACATTCCATCTCGCATCACCTCGAGACAAGTCAGACAAGACCTTCTCTTGCAGTATGGATTCAAACCCTTCTAGTGCTACGTTACTCCAAAAGGCACTCCCAAGTAGTGGTAGCGCCCACAGGTCATTATCAAAAACAGTATCGGCATGCTATTTATCTATGTTCGTCTAGAGCAGTACTAGTTGGTTAATACTGCGTCGTTCGCATCGAGTGTGGTGAAAACTTTAGTGTTGTTGAGGTTTGGGAGCAACTCATTAGAGGTTGTCACTGGATAATTTGGACGTTTTAATGCCTTGTTTTTTAGGTTTAGGCAGACCTGTAGTTTTTTAGGCTTTGAGATAACAATCCTACTGCTGGGACAGATTGCGGCTATTGTCCGATAATCCCAAGTAATTCTCTCGTAAAGAACGTCCTTAGAGTCTATCTAGCAGACAATCTCTCAACACTTTGGTAGGTTAGCGATCCGGGAAACTGCCTCGAATTCTTCTCACTCTATTAACGAAATCATCGATTCCTTC